TAATTTATTTTCGTCGAAGATACATTTTGATTTTTAAATCTTGATTTTTATAATCTTGATTTTTATTTTTTTGTTAAAGGATTTGGCGGCAAGTGCAACGACGTAAAAGTAATTTTAGTCGGCACTTACGCGCCGGAACCTTTAGCCCCGAATTCTAACAGCGGCAATCTACTTGCACCACTCTTGCCATTTCTAAAAGACTTTACATCGATTTTGGGGAAGGAACCTCAAATGGTAGCATTGGATGCAACTAATTCTTCTAGTCCTGGCCTGAAACTTCTCAGATCTTATTTAAATAATGCAAGGATGGAATTTTTCAAGGTGACACGATTTATATTCTCCGTAAAATTATATATTTATCATACTTCATCTATAATATTAGAAGAGATGTTATCTCATCACTCACTTGTCTACGCAGAAATTAAGATTGCAGAACAATCTCGAATTCAGCAAATCTTTTTCTGATGAGAGTTAGTAATCTCTTCTGATTTTACATCTTTACCATCGAATATTATACATATATCTTTAATCCACTCCAAAATATATATCAGTAAATGCATGATATCAGTATGCTTGATACTAAATATGTGCGAGCAGAACCGTTTGATTCTGCAGCCTGTTAATACAAACAATTGTGACTAACGCAACCTTGTGTAAATAATCACATTTTCACAGGAAATTGTACCAATTTGTACAGCATGTAATAAATGTGCGCATTAACCCTTCGTGAAACGGTTCTGGTCAATAATGGGTTACCTCATTACGCTGTTGTTTGTACAATTCATTCATCAATCTTGAAATTTGCAGTGTCAATATACTATCAAATCAGGCATTGACTCTCAATAGAGGCAATGCGACAATTTCTATAATCACTTATATGATTTTCCTCTGACATCCATGATGCATGGTTGATTTGATATATGTACAAATAATTGAAAGCATTGAAAGTACCTTCTGTGTCTCGTGACTTTCGACGATATTCGATTATTTGCAATGTTTGATTGATTGAGCGCACCATTTTCAATAAAAAGATCCGATATCATGTCATATATACATATATATATATATATATCACGTTGAAACAAATTTATTAAGAACATATGTTTTAGTTGCTGGTTATTTGGCCATTAATGTTTATTAACAAGCCTTAATGCATGCGATGCATGATGTAGGATGGACCGGAAGTTGCAGAAAGTATTCTCCGACGTGACGCGCCGCGTGCTGCGGCTACGTACGTGCCCCTGGCGAATCTTGATAAACAGGTCGAAATACTTCTCTCAATTTCTTTAAAATAATTTTGAATGATGTGTGTATAAACTGACTGAAATTGTACTTTAGTTTAATAGTTGCACTAATGCTTTCTCCCATGTATACATACATGCACTATATATCTATCTTAAAAAAAAAGAAAAATAAAAGAGATTCTTTCTCTTGTATATATTTTCTGCATCAATGTGATACCGGGATAAAGGCAGAATTTTCTGTTACCATGGTTAATCACGTATTATAGAGCACCTTAGTGTGGACTGGTCTCGCCGAAGCATGGAGATCGTATGTGCAGTCGTTGGAAGTGCCTCCGTTAATGCTCACTCAGGAAGAATTTCTGAACGAGGTTCGGAAGATCAATCCTTTAGTTTGTTTGGAACATTGCAGACATCTCGGATTACAATTACAGGTTTATAATTTATTAACTTAAATTTAAACTACATTGTTCTTTTTCTCTAACTATGTATATTAAATTACAGAACTTAGGGGAATGTATTCTTCTACCTGGAAATCTGATAGTACTCAGTCCCGAGTGGTTTTGGCAAGACGTGCTAAATTGGCAATTAAGTCCTGATCAAAGAGGACGATTGGGCGGTCGAACCACCGGCGTTTATACTTTAGAAGATTTTCAAGCGCGATGTCCGTGCCCCGCCACTCAAGCTTTACAAGCTTTACAAGCAGTCAATTTATGCGTTCCGGTATGTTTTAAGAAATTTTATCAATCACTTGATTATTACTTGACTATTATATTTTAGTGCGAAGTGGATGATGATGAAGTGGAATACGAGATACCGTGTTTAAACCTTGTAGAGCGTCTGCCAGGTTTATGGGAACCGTGGAAACCATGTTCCAATGCGTTACCTCACGCTGGTTTACGCCTTTGCCCAGAGGAAGCACCTTTGTATCATTTGATTGCTATATTTATGCATTTACAGGTAATCAATATTTATAATAAAGAAAATATAATAATAGAACTAAAACATTAAAATTGATATAGGCGCAACTGAGAAAAATTACTCAAACGTGGGATCCGTCAAATTCAGATCTATATCAGTGGTGGCGAGGATCAAAACTGTGTTTGGGGCCTTGTGAGAGTATAATCACTTTTGAGGAGGAGGAACATAGTTGCGTGGAAATTCAAGTTCGCGGTCCACGTGGTTCTAGTGCACAGTGTTTTGCTCTTCTCAGCGTAATCCTGGACGCGATGGATACGACTATCGAATTAATCGCGCCCGGAATGTTACTTGAGAGACATTGGTTGAGTCCGAGCCAACTTCGAGAATATGAAGAGGTAAATAAAAATTAAAATATATTTAAATTTATGTATTATAAAATCGAAAGATTAAGATTGTATGTGTTTAACTAATACATTTGCAGGTAATTCACTCTTGGGCACCAGCCACCGTCACATCGGCTTTAATCGACAAAGGCCTTGAAGAGGCGACTCTTAAGAATCCTCTAAACGATCAGCAAGAAACCGTGTGGGAGATAGTAAGTTGCGGGCTGCCATTAATGGAAAATTGTATTCCCGGATCGAAGCAACCTGTAAAATATATAAAGCCTGCTGTGCAGCGGCGACTGGCGCAGATGCTGGATCCTCCTGATCATCATGGAAGAGATTGGTGTTTACTCGCCGTGAGACTCGGTTTAGGGGATCGTGTTGCTCAACTGGATAGCACAGTAGACAGTCCAACTTTAAGGTAAGAGTTTGCTTTTGAAGTATGCCGATTGCGTTACAACTGGAGTATTTCGAAATTTCGTATTTGACCCACAGGCTATTGAAATGCGCGGGTGCAGAATGCACCGTCGGTACGCTGGTGCAACAATTACGAGCGCTCGATCGCGAAGACGCCGTGCATTTGTTGCTCACGTATACGCCAATCTATGTGCTATTGATGTCCATCGACTCCGAGACAGAATCTAATCTTTCCAGATGACGCATTCATCAATGGCGCATTAGCACCTTCTAGGTGTTCTTTTTTCTGATATGCCGCGTTTGATGGATAGCATTGTCTTTCTATTTCCGCCCAATATAAATCGTACATTAATTTGTTAAGTACGTGTATGTCCTTATATGTAACTTAACTTTAATGATCGATCGTATTGCATTTCGAGTTGAGTGATATAAGAGGGATCTGACATATTTTGTACACTGTTTTATATTCTTTCTTTTTCTTTATTTTTTTACTTTGTACTTACTAGCCGATATGTATTTGTTAACTCGTATTACATTGGTATGATTATCGTAAACGAAAATCAATTACTTCTTATGCCTTTTAATTTGTATCGGTTACTCCATGCAAAAATTTATATTACTTACATTTATTTTTATTTCTTGATGAGAGTTGTGTTGTGGTTAACGTTATATTAATAAGTGTTGTGTTGTTGTACAGTTTGCATTTTTTTCGTTATATGCAACTGTTATTCCAGGGAAATGATGCATTTACATATTATAATATGCGATATGATCGTATTTGATATCGATATTGTTTCGAACGCTTTTCTTGATATGCCGATATGATCTTGATATATACATATATACATGTATTACATCTTGCCAAAACTCTATGTCAATATGCACCGCTTTTTCAATACTTCGGAACATTTACCAAGCATATATATATATGCGCAAAAAGAGTGAAACAACCATTTGCACAGTCTATTATTACTTTTGGATATATCTCGTCTGTGTACATTCGATGGTTGAGTGCATATTTCTACTGAACTGTATTCGACATCTACTGTGTGCCATATGCAAAAATTATTAAAGTATATTCGGAAACAGAGAAACTAAAAGGTGTAACAGTTAAACGAATTCTTTTGTAACATGACTGAACTATATTATTTTTTATTGTAAGCTATATTTACAATTATGAAAGTCTGCTTATCTGTATACCTGTAAATTGATCAGAAAAATCAATTTCACATACGCATAACAATTAAGAAGTATGTATGATTAACAGTAAAAACATTCGCATCGAAACATCCGTAGAGCTTCATTCGCATAGTTTTTTCATCACATGCAGTATCTTATAGTAGCTTAAGCGAATAAGTTACATGTTATAATCTGAGACTGTTATAAAAATAAACCAGTGAAATTATATTAAATATATCTTTCGCTAGATTTAATTGTCTTATTTATTATTATACCATTTTCATTAAATAGGCTATTTTTTATAGCTTATATATTTAATTTGTGTTTGTATTTGCTAATTTCTAGATTCATAAAATAATTTCACATAATTTTCATCGACTCTTTAAATTTCTCCATTTCCTAGGCAAACGATTTTTTTTACAGTTTCGTAAAACCCTTTTCAGCAGACAGCACATGAAGTTTTAATCCCAAATGTCGGAGCTATACGTTTTATTAGTGTGATGTGGTTTCATCGAAAGCTCCCGCGCGTAACACCAACCCGTTCGATAGGCAAGACTTCGATCAGCGGGAAGATTCGAAGTGGGTCCGTGCTGACTGACATTTGAATGACTTAATGTCGATTGCGGCTATCAATGTGACGATAGGATCGGTCAGGCTGTTTACTATGGGGTGTTGATTACGTGGTCGGCAGAAAACAGGAACGGGATTCTTTTCGAGGGCCGAGAATAGCATGGGAACGAGCGGATATCGCGTTTCGTAGGCAGCCGCGGTGACGACGGCGGAGGGTAAGTTTCGGGACGATAGCCAAAGTCCCCAAGCAATTATAGAATTGGATTGGATCGGGGAGTTCGGGAAGGTGGTCGGCACCGCCGCCGAAATCGGTTTCGTTTTATTTTAGCTTAGCTGTCGAAGGCATCCGGTTGTGCATTCTCCCCGCGGATCATCGTCACGATCACAGTAAGTGTCCTCTTTAGTAGGAATTCCTCTGCTCATCCAGTATCACCGCGCGAAATTTATTAAACGGGTGATGATTAATAGGGTGGTATATGTCGATACATTGAGCGTTGAATGACGGGGTGAAATCTCACGGCGAGAAACACAGAAGTTTTTGTGATTGCACCATTCTCGTCGTCCTTCTTTTAATCGCTATATTTAAGGTACGGATTTTGCTCACTGCGAATAATTAAGATATTTGTTTAGAATTTTATTAAAATCAATTAAAGCATTTGTATTTTAATTATACGGAAAGAACGGTAGCTGAGATAGCTAAAAAATTATAGCTAAATTTTTAACAAATTTGAAAATAATTTTGTCGAACTATCAAAGTAATCATATAAGACGCTTAAGCTATAGTTGCTAGATTGTCAAAACTTGTTGCAGCATTGCTCATCCTCTACTTGAATTTCTTTCATAATTTTATTTTGATGGTCCATCAAAATTTTCAGATCTATCTAAATTTTTAAATACTTCGACAATAAGTTCTTTCTGTGTAAGTGCGCGATTTATGAATTTTATCGGTCTCTGATCGCGCATTTGTCAGCGTAATTTCCATCTTTCATATTCATCGTCTAAAATTGCACTTTAGCTTTACGAGATAAATATGATATCCAGAATAACTGATAAGGGGAAAGCCCAAAATCGCGCATTACGATGGAGGCGATCAAGAAGAAAATTGCGGCGCTGAAGCTTGAGATGGATGCCGCAAACGAAAAGGTCGAAGTCAACGAGACGAAAGCGAAACAGGAGAATATAAGAGCAGACAGGCTGAACGATGACCTCGGTGATCTACAGAAGCGATTGTCGCAATTGGAACGAGATTATACTGTCACTAAAGCTAACTTGGAGCAATCTACTGCCGATCTAGAACAGTGCGAGAAATCTTGGTCTAAAGTACGTAATGATTAATATGAATAGATTTTCTAAGATCTTTCACGAAAATCTTTTTTTTTCATAAACTTTGTGATACAATTTCTACAATGAAAACAATTTTCTAAGATAATATGATCTATTGTGTGTGAAACTGTCAACTAATGAAGCTATTACAAGAAGCTATCAAAAAAGCTGTAACAATCAATATTTTAAGTTCCAATACACACGTATTTAAAGAATCTTTTATGACATATCAATTAATCGTGTTGTACGTACAGGCTGAACAAGATCGTACCGTTTTAACGAAGAAGGTGCAAGAGATCGAAGCGAGTCTGACTAAAAAGGAGGAACTACGTCTTTCCGCTACAATAAAACTGGCACGTGCGACCGAACTTGCGGATGACGCACAGAGGTTTATAAATTCATTGTCATCAGATTTTCATGTTTTACCCAGCCAAAAATGACTGGTCGAATTGACATTGATTGATTATATAGTGCTGGACGTTAATCGAAGTCGATTTGACTAATTTCTTAATTATTTCTACGGGGTACAAATGTTATGCATATACACAAAATAAATAGATAAATTATACAAAGCAGGATTCGACAAAGCAATAATGCTGTATCTTTTTTCATATACAGAATGTGTAACGTTTTGGCAGACAGGAGTCGTTTGGACGAGGAACGTATGGAAAAGTTGATGTCGGAATTAAAGGATGCTAGATTAATCGCCGAAGACGCCGATTCGAAATCTGACGAAATAGCCAGGAAATTGCAATTCGTGGAGGAAGAATTGGAAGCTGCTGAAGAAAGAGTGAAGACTAGCGAGGCGTATGCATAATAATTATAATTTGCATGTTGTATTATATGTATAGTTATAGTTATATAACACCTTATATATACATGTACATTTATATGTATATGTTATACATATATACTATACATCATTATATACATATATATATAAAATATATGTAAATTCTTTCACATTGAAATATTTTTTGTAGAAAAATCGTGGAACGTGAGGATGAACTCTTCATCGTACAGAATATCGTGAAGTCCCTCGAAGTGTCTGAAGAGAAGGTGACGTAATATAATACGCGCGCGCGCTGTGATAATTAGTCGCACTGCAATGGCACTTTTCTATTATTTTGATTTTAGGCGAACCAACGGGTAGAAGACTTTAAGGTACAGCTGAAATCCTTGAAAAAGAAATTGAAGGAAGCGGAAAAACGCGCAATCACTGCTGAAAGGACGGTGAAGACTTTACTAAAGGAAGTGGACATGAAGGAAGGTAAGAACGCTCTCGAAGCTTTTATTTTCAATCAGTAAATTCAATCAGTATTTTTGGTAAATTGAAAATTAAGTTTAAAAAATAATGTTTCTATTCTTTCTTTTCTATATCATTGAGAAATTGCTTGTTTTAGACGAACTCAGGGAAGAGAAGGAAAAGTACAAGGCGGTCTGCGACGACATGGACCTGACGTTCGCCGAGATGACAGGATACTAAAGTCCTGCGGACGAATTTGATTTGACTCTCGTTGCTACTTCTAACTGCTGCTGCTTTCCTCCGCTTATTTTTTGTTATTCATTGGTTCAGCTCGCTATGTTAAATGCCGCTTATATCGTAATGTCGATTTGTTTTGTCTTCTGAAGTGCCGTGAACGATATTAGAAATAACCCGCTTCGCGCAATAATCTACTGATGGACAAGGCAATGCAATGCGGCTTGTTACTATAATTGCTTCGCTTTGTGCAATACCTTGCCAAGTTCGGCAACTGGTTCACGGTCGCTCGTTGTTCGCTGTGTTGATCGAACATTCAAGATTTCGTCTATTTCTTTTTCTTTCAGAGATGTTGGAGGGATTTAGTATCGTACGCGCGAGCGAGACCACGATGTCATGCATCCTTCGTACCATTCAATGTAAAATCTGTATTTTCAATAAACAATATCACATATTCTCTAATGAGTTTTCGTTATTTTATGCATCGTGCTGTCAATAGATTAGAATAAAGTTTTAAAAAATGACTAAATAAATAAATAATAAAAATGAGTAGTAACATATTGCCTTTCGATATAATATTAATAATATTAGGGAAATTAATTATCAATTATTATTAATTAAATTAATTGTGTGTGTTATTAATAATAATAATTAATATTTCTTTAATATTTAATACTCAAGTAGCACACAGCGCTTACAAAGCATTAACAAAGCTTTGTTGCTGTGCTATAATTGGGATACTATGATAATAGATTGACGAAAGATGTATAACTGCGAAATTGAAATTGTGTGAGCATTAACATTATTTACGCATTAAAAATATTGTAGAAAATGTTACAATACAATTCTAAATTGTGTAGTAAATCCAAAGATATGTCTGTTATTTTAAATTATAAAATATATGTAGCATGTGCTTTTGAAACCTATTTTTAATTGTCAAACAAATATAACGCAAAGTAAATGCAGTTTGTCGACTAATGTATCTGCGATCGGCAACGATCATGGGCACCACTGTTTTAAGAAGTCCAAGAATTCGTTTGAGCCTAACTAAAGCGACTGTCGTTTTTGTTCTTTTGCATTGCATTGAACCTATAAAACATTGTCCCCCTCGGTCACTGAATACAGTAACTCACGGGCATTGCATTTTGATACTTCGCTCGTTTCTGTAGTAATTAAAAATTCTGTTAACAGATTGTGAAGCTTAAAATTATCATTATTGTGTGGAATAAAAAGATACTTCAAAGTGAAAATGTTTCACACGGAACTATTTTTGAAAAAACATTCTTGATCGCAATCAAAGTATATAAAACGTAAAAATAATTATCGTAAATTAAAAATATAAAAAATTATAAAAATCTTTGCCACACAATAAAGTTAATAATAAAAATCTAATTCTTGCGACTTAATACAGTTATTAAAATAATTCACTTGAAAGCAACAATTTATCCATTAAAATTTCTATTAAGGTCATTGATTAAAAAGAATATTTCTAATTAATTTTCAACGAAAACATGAATGCTATTAAAAAACGGCTGCAAATGCTAAAGCTCGAGAAAGATCTCGCGATGGATAAAGCTGATCTGTGCGATCAGCAGGCAAAGGAGGCAAATCGAAGGGAAGAAAAATTGAGAGATGAAGTTCGTGAATTGGCCAAAAAGTTAGTGCAAATGGAGCATGATTTGGAAGTGAGTAAGGCCCAACTGATAAAGTCAAACAGGAATCTCGAGATAAAGGAAAGAATCTATATCGTGGTTAGTGAATTGGAAGAAATGTCACGTGCATTCAAGTTCAATTTATCTTTACGTCAATTGTAAAATTGCAGACGCAGTCGGAACTGGCGGTATTTAATAGAAAAATGCAGCAATGCATGCAGAATTTAGAAAAGTCAGGGGAGCGACGTTTATCGGCTCAAGTAAAGCTCGCGCAAGCCATGGAAACTGCTGAAGACGCAAAGCGGTATATTTCTATATAAAATTTACTCTGTAAATTTTTTGCTATGAAATTCTTTTTTTACTGGTATATAATAAATATTTTATATTAATAAATGGTATAAAAGTAGCTGTAGAGATTAAATTTTTATTAATACCGTTATTTCAATTTTTTCACAAGAAATATATGATAAGCTGTTATAATCATAAAATTATTCTTACTCAGCATCTGCAAAGTCCTAGAGAACAGGAGTAAACAGGATGAAGAGAGGATGGATCAATTGATGGCGCAGCTGAAGGAAGCGAGACTCATTGCTGAAGACGCTGACACGAAATCGGATGAAATTTCGAGAAAATTGGCATTCGTTGAAGATGAGCTGGAAGCGGCGGAAGAAAGAGTTAAATCGAGCGAGGCGTACGCGACTCTCTAAATATAGCGATTACATTCTTTTCTGTTGAATCCTTTCTTACTTCTCTATTTTCAGTTTAAACGAGAATGTTTCACAACATATCCTATTTTCCAAGATGTTTTATTTTTGCATGAAAAATTTCTACATATTCATTAAGTCGTGTGCATAGAAATTTCTTTTAATCAAATAAGTAAAGAAGATCATATTAGGTTAAAGAGGACTTTGGTGCTGAATAATATTTTTGTGTAAATTTTATAATTTCCAGTTCAAACAAATTGCGCGCTGATATTATTTGTTGATCTTGGAACAATTTAATTTCACTGATTATACAGGGTGTTTCCAAATTAAATGGCAAAACTTCGGGAGCGTGTAGAG